AGCTGTGGCTCAGGATCCTGCTCTTCACAGGCGCCTCCGTTTACCCGGTCACTGTGTCCAAGACCAGCATCGCCACGTCCACACGCCCACCCCACCCCCCGCCGCCCCCAAGCTTTTCTATTGAAAAAGCAGACTCCTGACTCAGCTGAGGTGGTGCAACTCTGGTTGTGGTGGTTAAGCTTTGATCTATGTGGCAAAGAACAGTTTCCCCACATGGAATTTCTCTGATGATTTTCTGCTCCTCTTCCAGATTGTCTGTTGAAGTTGACTTGAGTGAGCCCTGGTAGAAGTGACCTCATATTTGTAAGATGTGTCAGATTATCTAGAAGGAAGCCTCTATTTGGAGAGGTTCCATTTGGATTTAGAATCTTCTAGTCAAGTCATTCATGGTAGAAATATGAAGTATTTTCAAAAGCTTGGCATGTCAAAAGATAGTCTCATCTTTTTTCTCACCTCCCAACAGATTGTGAAAAAGTAATAATAGGGACACAATGACCGGAGCTAGGAACAGCTCATGCACATTAATATTCCCAGAACATTAAACACTTGAAAATAACTTGCGGGGTGACTCCTTTAGAGATTTGCTTATAATTAATACAAAACAATTCTTGGATTTTTTTTTTGATGAGTTAGTTATAATTAATGCAAATAATTCTTGGATCCTTTGGCTTAATGAATGTTCGTCTCCTTTAGAGATGTTAGGATGGAGTATTGAGTGGTTATTGTGATGGCATTTGACCAGGGGACAGGCAGATACTGCAGTGCTCTCCCAGATGCCTTTGCACTGCATCTCTGAGCGGATGACAGGCAAGCAAGGCACCCAGACCCTTCTCACTCTGCTGGTCTCTGTGGAGGGCAGCTTGTAGCCTTGCTTCCTGTACCAGGTTCACCTGCCGGTCTGGAAGCAGAGTTAAACCTCAGTCTTGGATCTTAACACTCCCACGCAGGGAAGCCTCCCTCTTTGCTTTGCGCAGAGGCATGCCAGCTGGCCCCGGTGGGGAGAGGCAGGAGACAGAGCAGCCCGCTGTGCTTTGGCCCAGGGGTCTGGAGCAGAGCTGACTGAGGCCATAGGTAGCTACTGCCTCTCAGGCTGAGTGTGCGAAGAGAGAGGGAAAAGGAGGGAGAAAAGGCCAAAACAACAGCAGCAGCAAAGAATGGGTGGGCCTTTCCCTGGGTGCAGGCCCCTGGCTGTCATCTATTGTCACTAGCCTGTTCAGTAGAAGAGGAAGGTGAGAAAGAGCCCTACACCTGTGCCTATGGCCAGTTTGATCACTTGGGAAGTTCTCACTGTGGGGAACACAGCCCTGGCAATACTTCATTCTGTCTCTTGATAAAATACCAGAACAGGGGAATGTTCATTTCCTTTCCTTCCCTTGGCTCCTTCTTAGATCTAGTCCTTGACTTGAGCCAGATGCACCACGTATTAGCTCAGTTTCAGAACTTGGCCAGTGTTAACAGTCTAATCCTCCAGTCCCATGGGCCACAGTGAAGAGACGGACCTCCCTTCGCTCCCACAGTGGGTGTGGACACCTGATGCCGTCAGTGTATGTGAATGCAGCTTCAAGCCCCAAGGCCTTCTTCCTTCCAAGAAACTGCATTTTCCTGGCTTCCTTTAGGGGGAAATTCTGGGCACAGCATAGAAGCAAATATGTCAAAACGTTCATGGTGTGCGAGAAGATGTGACAATTTGAAGTCTGACTTCAGGCCATAGGACCTAACAGATTTTACCAATGACAGGCGCCACTGACCTGGAAATGACCCTACCAGTGAACTTTTCTCGGGCTTTGAACTGTGTCAAGTAGACATCCTTGACACCTTTTTCTTTTGAATTCTAGTCATTTCTCAATAGCTGTGGCATAATACTCTCATGAGCCTTTCCCTGGTATGTTCGCCCCTTTGCCTCCATTCCCTCTGTAAATCCCTTGCCCTGTCGGGATTGACCAGACCCTCAGTTTGGGGCTCCATGCCTCCCTCAGTGTCGCCCGTCCTTAGGGGGAAATTCTCCGTTCTCTGATCTTCTCAGACCTTGCTTTTCCCAGCCTGGACCGTGCCACCTGGTTTCTAGGCCTTACCCTCTAACAGCCTTTGGACACTGGCTTTCGGATGTCATCACAATCTGAAGAGCTAGTTTACAGTTCCTCGAAAACCTGCTCCCCATTTCCTGTGGTGATGGCACCTTTCTCCTATTTCTTTCTGGCCCCACTTCCCTGTCGCCACGGTAACAAGTCACCCTTTTGAGTGATGTGTCTGCCCTCCTTTTGGTTATGGCGTGACCACAGAGGCCTCCTCGATGGCCTTCCGTTCTCCGTTCCCCACTGGTTGCTGCAAGAGGCTCGTGATAATGGGACTAGACGGGAGTCATTAGTGAACATTTGATAGGAACTTTATATTGGGTGAATTAGACTAACAACCCCTGAACCTTGGAGATCAATCTTAACGTCATTAATGTGGAACAGCCAGACAGTATATCCTTCCAGATATGATGCAACAGGACATACAAAGTACCCAGCCCTGGGTAATATTTCCAAAATAATTGAACCTGAATTAAATTGAGTCTCTAGGTCTTGTTACCAGTTTTCAGGAAGTACAGGGATGTGGGAGCAGTGCCACAAGGAAATTGTTCTAATGTCTCCAACAAATAAGTAGCATAAAAAACTGTAGATGGGGAAAGGATTATTAGATGTGGAAGGAGAATTAAGGGCCACAACTAAACAGACCTGGTGTGTATTCTGATTTAAATGAATTATAAAAGGACAGTTTTGAGACAGTTGAATTTTAAATGTAATGTATGTGTTGAGTATATTAAGTATGTTAATTTTATTAAGTGGTAATGGCATTGTGGTTGTTAAAAAAGAGTATCTGTTAGACTATACAGAGGCATTATGGGAAAAATCAGATGATATCTGATTTATTTTAAAATAGAAGAAAAAATAGAAGTGGGTCGATCAGACAAGAATGGCAAAATGTTGACGATTCTAAAAAGGGGTAAGAGGAATTCATTTATCGGAACTGTCTTGTGACTTTCTTTGTTTTCATAATAAAAGTTTGAATAAGAAAAACCTTTATTTTGGCCCTGAAGTGGAAGTTCTGGCTTTGAAGAGCTCTGATTGTGCAGCTGAGATCAGCCAGTACTTATGTCCTATTTAGTTTAGAATCTCTTGTGAGCACCTTCCCTGACAGCAGGTGATGTCTGTGTGTCACGTCAGAGCGTGGTGTTTGTTGCTGCCTTCTCACGTAGCAGACTGGAAGGAATTCCGCCCCGGCTGGGATCTGCCTGTGGGCGTTGTTTGCTCGCCTTCTGGGAGGACTGAACGAGGGTGGGGAAGGACGCTGTTGCTCCCCAGCTCTTTAGTCTGAATCAAGCAGCAGGCAGATGGGACCCAGGGGTCCACCACCACCTTCTGCAGGGCCACTGGTTATGTGACTGGACTTCATCAGTACTCACCTCCCCCCGCTTCACCGTCCCTCTAATCATCTACAAAGTAATCATGGGTACGCCACCCCCCGCCCCCCCGCCAAGGAACACATCTTCTGTCCTAAATACTGCCTTGCACAGCCCTCTACCCTATGGGGAGGTGGCGCGTGCTGGGGGCTGGTCCATGGCCCATGAGCGGCGCATTCTCACCCGAAGGAGAAGGCCTGCTGCTATAATGCACATGTCATAGTAATTGCTTTTCTGCTCTGTGTCATCGATGATACGTGCTGTCAGACCTTGTCGTTTGATAAAGAAATTGGGCAATAATTCATTCTGCTTTCCCTTCAACGATATCTTCAGCTTTGTGACTTGTACCAGTTTCTGCCACAAGGAGTGAACTTTGAATGACACCTTTGTAATTTTGGCTTCTCTCTGCCTTTAGTGACGGAGTCAATTACATTTGTGGTCTAAGAATTGCCTTGTGCTCGTCTAGGAAAACTAGATTGGTTTATTGGAAATGACAATGGGCATTGTTTGGAAGAGGTGCCAGAGCTTGAATGGCTGTACTTGGTGGAGTTTCCATCCACTTGGTCATCTGAGAACCAGGGACAATTGGAATGCGGTTCCAATAAAATCCAGCTTGTAGGACATGTCATACTTCCTTCCCATGCCTTTCTCCCCCATGCGCTTGTGTAAAATATTTGTATGATGATTCACTTTTTCTAAAACATTCAGACAATCTACACATGCCTAAGTTCTGTTCACCATTCAGGTTTATAACATTATTCATGTTGTAGAGTCATCATATTTATATTTAGATCAATTTTCATGAATTCAAAGTTTAATTCTATGTAATATTAACAATAGAAATGCCAACTTAAATGTAAACAATAATGCCGCTCAAATGTGAAAATGAATTTGGGATAGGCTGCATCAAACTAAAAGTTGATGAAGAATAACTGTTAGTATGAGGCTTACAGAGACAAGGTCATAGAAGCTTACCATTTCTACATTTCAAGTCTCTTTAGATCACAGTTAATCTTCCATTTCGGATTTCCCGGAATGCGTGAGAAAAAACCTGCTGCTTGGCGTTACCCTCTTTAAACAACCTGATTGCTCATAGGCCCCTTGCTAGGCCCTGCGGTGACTCCTGATCCACAGCATGAAGAGCTGGACCTTCCATTGGGGAACCTGGGGAGGACAGTCTGTTCACATACGGCATGTTTTCTTCAGTGTCAGGGAGTCCCCCATCCCGGTGAAGCCTGTCTGTGTGTAGGACAGTGTTTCCCAAAGCGTATTTTTGGGACCTTTTCATCACAGTCACATGGGGAGCCTGTTTAACACAGAATCCTCAGCCCTAACCCCTGCCCCCGGCTGCAGGACCCCTGAGCAGCCTCGCTGGGGCCAAGGCCTGGAAACATGCATTTTGGGAAACTCTGCCCCGCAGTATCTGTGTGCAGCACAGTTGAAGGACTTTTTACGTTTGTGCACCGTGGAGTACAAATGCCTGCTCTGTTGGGTTTACACGACACGTTATTTTTATAACTTACGATGAGCATTTTGCTGTCCTTCCTTCTGCCCCCAGGACTGGTCCGTCATGTCCGCTACCTGTTCACCGAAATGGTCACCCTGTGTTTGGATGTGGACAACAAAAACAACAACGAGACGGCAGCGACGCTGCTGTGCTCCCTGCTGGACATTCTGCACGGCATGCTGACCTACACGTCCGGTGTTGTCCGGCTGGCCCTGCAGGTAGGGGGCCTCGGTCCCACGGCTGGAACAGCTCCACGCTGTGGCTCGCTTCCCTTTCAGTGTCTTTTTTCTCATCTCCCTCTACTGTGTCTTTACTTTTCAGAAAGCACTTAGGTTCTCTAGAGAGAGACGGCCAAATAAGCCATCTCTGGTGACCAATGTCAAGGACAGATAATGTGGTCACAAAATCCGAAAGGAAAGCAGGAGAGGTCTCGGCAGAGACTTAGCGGCGCTAACCAGGGGACCGGCCCTGGCTCTGATCACGAGCCCACTGGCAGCCCACAGTTGGCCAAACTGCGCGCGGCCCTTCCTGTCCGGGGATGGGGCTTGGGCCCAGCCCCAACGGGGAGGATGCGGGAACGATGCGGGAACGATGGATGGCGACTTCAGGCCCACACATACACGTCCATTCATACACACACAACACAACACGTAGACTTTAGCAATTGCTTTCCCTTAGGACCAATGACATGGAATTGCAGATGGTTTTGAGAATTCGGAGCGTGTTCAGTCAGTTTGCCCCAACCTTACCCTGCTCTCAGGAAGGAAGGGGATGTGGGTTTATTCGGTACCTTCTGTGTTGGGTTCCCACCCCGCACCCCCCGTGCCTGCCTCCCTGGCCGCGGTCGCTCCCCAGCCGGCCGCGTCAGCTATACTTGGGTCATGTGCAAGCGCACAGCTGATAGGAATTCATGGGTGTATTTCAAATCCTGGTAGAATTACGAGAGAGAGAAGTCAAACAATAGCCTAGTGAATTGAACAGTTGCAGAAGCTAAAGTGGAAACCGAACTGTTGGGATGCTTTGCCGAGAGTCAGAGTAGCAGCACCAGCGATGAATCGCTGGGCCCTGCTTCGGTCTCTGTTACTTCTCACTGTGATAAATGGTAACTTCTGTCCACAGTGAAGCTGCTCAAGTATTCAGCTTGTCTAGTGTGGTTTAATAAATAATTCGAAAATCTCCTCAACAAACATGGTAATTAATAAGTGTTTGACCCAAACTTGTGATGAGAATAGGGGCACATGGCCTTTGAACTACCTAGTTGTTTCTCTTTGCTCATCTGCAGTAATTCTCAATTCTAAATTAACAGCAGAGCATCGTTACGTACTTACAGAATCCTGGATTAAGGGTTTAGCTTAGCTTTTCTTCTTTTCTAGTGTCTCTTCAGAGAATAATTGTTTCTTATTTCAGTTTCCATAGTGGTAGTTTCATGTAATTCCTCAAGAAGCAGTCGCTAGTAACTCTCACAAGGTGCTTTGATGATACCAATGTGTAAAAGATATATTTTGTAGATTGTAGATAAAAGGGATCAGAAGTTTCAAAATTCCAGAACAACAGAAATCCTCTTTTATCCTAAGTGATTATGAGGTAGATATTCAAGGGTGTTTAAAAGAAAACTCCTTAATACAAACATTTTCTAATTCTTTTCTCATTTGCGAGCATACCAGTAGAGCCCTGTTTTTAATTTTTTCATTTTCTTCACCACTACTGCGCTGCCGCCTTCCTAAATCCTCTGCTGTAACGTCTGCCACGCGCTGTGTTTGGCTTCACTCCCGACCTGGATCTCCAGGGTACCTGGCGTCAGTCTGCCCGAGTTGGGGGGGAAGGGCTGGGGAAGAAGTGGTGGGTGCATCAAAGACACCGCCTCAGACAACACTGAGCTGGGTGTGCGTTCCAAGCCATGGGTCACCCCTCCTGCTTATAACCACCCTCGGCACTGGGGATTCTTCCGCATTCAAAAATGTCTAACAGGAAGGTCTCTAACATAGAAGGATGGAGGGACGGAGGGTTGCTGGGTTTAGAATGATGGTGGTGCTTAGATCTGTGAAGCACGTCTCCTCTTCAGGGAGGAGAGTGACATGCGGCAGGGAGAGGGCACGGGGCGTAGGGAGGGGCGGGGGCAGGTGTCGAACCTCCCTTGGAAGTCCAGGCCCCGCCCCGCCCCGCCTTGGGATTCGGAGCGGCCCTGGCTTCAGCGACCCCTCCGAGGGGTGTACGTGAGAGGTGTGGAAGCAGCGACAGACGTGTGCTCCTGGCCCGGAGGTGTGGCTCACCGGCGTGCTGGGGGGCACAGGGGCCTTGCAGCCGGAATGCCCTGGGTTCAAATCCCAGCCCCGCCCTCCCTTTCCACCTGTCAGACCCTGGGCAAGTTGCTTCACCTGCCTGAGTCCCTTTCCTGGGAAGTAGATACGATCGTACCTACTCTGCAGGTTTGTTATGGGACTTCAATGAGAGAATAACAGATGTGTAAACATATGTAAATACATACTGCCTCACGCGCACCTGCCCCAAGGAAGGTAAGCAATGAAAGGTTGCTGTGTCCTTTACAGCAGCAAGAAGAAAGGTGCTCACCTCCACTTCCTGTTTACAGAGGGTTTCCTGTGGCCTGTGACTTCCTTACTTCTGTGTCAGCGCATGGGACTGTTGACTGAATAAACTAAGCCCTGGCAGAGGTTACCATGAGATGGTAACCTCTGGGTTTATTTCACACTAGAGCCCCGCACAGGGCCAGGCACCTCTGATTTCATCAGGGGTCCCGACAGGAAGGGCCTTCGCCCTCAGGGAGCGTCCGTTTGGCCGCACACCCACGTAAAGCGAGTCATCATCTCATCACACCTGTGCCAGTGCCACCACTGAAAGGGACAGGGTGCTGCGGGGTGAATGTGGCGGCGAGGGAAGGCGGGGATTCCACAGTAAAAGCCAGGCCACGTGCCCTCCCACTCGGGGTCCGGTCTGTCATTTCTGAGGTGACGGGGGTGCTGGCTGTGCCGCCCTCCGGGGAGCAGGGCGGGCCCGTGGCTGCTGATTGGCGGGTGTGCTGGCGTTGCCCCAGGACTGCGATGTGGCCCCCGAGGCCTGCTTGGTCGCGCCCACACAGGAAGGTCATCTGCGGTGGGGGCTCTGGTCTCTATTTTTAGTACCTCCTGGAATCACCCAGTTGGCTCCTCTGCAGCTTCCCCTCCTCGTTCTTCTCCACGGGCCTCCCTCTGTCTGGTGGTTGAAATCAAGTGAGACTTGTCTGCCACGGCCCCTAAGCCTCCTCACGCCTCTCTTTTCCTTTGAAGACCTGAGCATTTTGTTGACAGTGCCATTTTTGAACTCCTTGGTGAGACGCCCAAGGCCTCGTACAGTCCAGCCCCCGGCGCCTTTCCAGCCGCGTCCACCAGGCTTCCGTGCTGCTGTCCCCACGCCACGCAGTTGGCTTGGTATTTTCCGAAAGGACCCTGCACCTCATCGTCCACACGCCTTTCCCCATGGGATTCCCAGCCCCCGCAACTCCGCTGTCCGTTTCGTTTCTGTAGACTGCAGCCCACTTCCAAACGATGGAGTCCAAACGTCACCTTCTCTTTCAGCACCATTTAAGCCCCCTTTCCACTGCAATAGTAGTTCTCAGGCTCCGCCTCCAGCCGCCATTGGGAAGCCTGTTCTCCTCTTCACTGAACCCCGAGACCCCCCAGTATGGGGCCCGAGCCGTTTCCTCTGTGCGTTGCGAGCTTGTGCGTGATGCTGCTTGGGGAACATGCTGAGTGTTGGGCTGGGCTGGGCCACACCACGGCGAGCCATCTCCGCTGCGTGCACACACCTGCCTGGACGTCAGACAGCAGCCGCCTGAGGAACGGCCTATGCCGTGTTCTCCCCCGATGCCTTCCCTCTGTGCTTTGTTTCACCTCTCGTTGAGAACCTGCCCCCACGCATGAGCCCCACGTAGCAATGCCAGACGTAATGGAGGCGCATCCCCCTGATCTTTCCGTATGCCGAGAAGTCAGCTGCATTCCTTCATCTCATCCTGGTCAAGCTGTATTGCCATCTGGTATTACATATGGCTCATAGGTTGACATTCTCAGGTTTTATTTGTTTAAAACTATTAACTTCATATTTCCATGTCGAGTTCTCCAAGATCCGTACACAGGCCCTCTAGCAGCTTTTTCCACGCGGCCGCAGGGATGCCCCGTAACCACCTGAGGTGGAAAGTGGCCAAAGCCGGACTCCAGATTCACCTCCCGAAACCATTCTCCTTCTGGCACGCACCGCCACCCTCATTCTTAACATTTCCTCCTTTTTTTTTTTTTTTTTTTAATTCCACATCTGATCTGTCACAAAACAATGGAGGTTTTTTACCTTCAATATCTAACAAATCCAACCACTTCTCTCAAACCCTGTGGCCCCCACCAGCTCAGTCTGCTACCCTCGCCTGCCTGGACTGTAACATCTGGGCGGGCCAAGGCCTTGGGCTGGTGAATGTGAAAAGGCCCGTATTCCTCTCAAATAGAGCTTCAGAAGGTGGGAATTAACAGCCAAGGTTCAGACCTTCGGGATGGTGCTCCCTCTTGATTTCTGGATCGAAATTCTCACATTGTCGCTCTATGGTGCAAGTTGTTAAAAGGCAGGCATCTGATATTCAGTCAAGTTCTTCTGAACCAAAGAAAGAAGGGAACTCAAAATCTGTCCCTAGGCCCGGGGTGCAGAAGGAAACGTGGCATTTCTGAGGAGGGCCCTGGAGTCCAGGGTAATGGCCTGAGGTGGGCAGCCTGCAGCCTGCTCTGCGGCCTCTGGCAAAGGGCACTGCCTCCAACTAGCTGCTTTTCTTCCGAGTGAAATTGAAAACAAGGAGCATGTGCATAAAATGTGTATATTCTACGGCAAACATGATAAATAATCAGTGTTTTTTCAATACGAAATTATTCATCTCTGTGTTAGAAATCTCTGGAATTAGACAGTTCTGTAAAACTCCTGGTAAGAGGGCACACTTAACGTTACAGGCAGTCACTTGTCATTTCTTGTTTTTATTTCTACACAGTGTGGCCTTTGTAAACAGCGCCGCCCTTATCTGAAGACTGTTCGCTCAGCAGTGCATTGAACAAATATTCTAGGTGTCATCTGTGCATGTTGAGAAGGAAATCACAGCAGAGTGCATATCTAAGGCGCAGAGTGCCCAGGAGAGATGAGCGTGTGTGATCTCGAGTCACACAGCCTTGGTCCGTCCTCCGGCTTTGTCACTCATTCTCTGTGGGGCTTTACGTGAACCACGTAGGTTCTCTGAACCCCAGTTTTCTGAAAAATGGGGATAGCAGCACCTCGTTTCAGGCTTGTTGGAGAGAGAGCTTGCCTACCGCAGCACGTGAGCATGGCCGTCACTCCGCAGCGACAGCCCTTGTTGCTGCTGTCTCTGTGGGCCGCCCAGGGCCGCCTCTGCAGCCTGAGCCGGTGGCGGGGGGGCTGCGTGCGCACTTCATCATGTCGCCGGGTCATAACAAAGCCGGGGGGCCGAGGTCGAGTCTTCCTCAGCTGCCTCGGTCTGCTAGATGGAGGGGAGCCGCCTCGCCAACACCCACCTCTCTTTTCTTCCCCTGGTCCAGGCTCAGAAGTCGGGCTCAGGAGGCGACACGCAGGCTGCAGAAGACCTGTTGCTGCTCAGCAAACCGCTGACCGACCTCATTAGCCTGCTCATTCCGCTGGTAAGAGCTCACCTGTTTGTGCCTTCCAGAACACTGCTGAGGTTGAAGTCATTTTCTTTGAATTTCATGATGTCTTGAATGTTTGTGCTGTGCTAAATCCTTTCCAAACTAGAGCCAGAAGAAATGTCAGACGATTATTTGGCTTGGAATTGCTTAATTTCAACTTTATTTTAAAACCAGGTGGCTTAGATATTTAAGTAAGGCAGAATCTCAGATCCTTCCCAATGAATGTGAGGTTAAAAAAATACTCAGGAAATGAAATCCAGGAAGGAAAAGTTCATTAGGGGGATCAATTCTCTTTCAAAAAGGTACTTGGGGATTATGCTTGGTATGCAGGATTCCCCAGAAATGAAGAAGTACAGGCACATCCCCTCAGTCTGCACAGAAATAGAATGAAATAAGTGAAATTAGATAAAAGCAGGTAAGACAACACAAGACCACTGGCTATAGGAAAAGAACCAACAGAAACTTGGAGTTTGGACTGACTTAGAGCGGGCCCACCACATAGACACATGACCTGCACCCCGGACGGAGCAGTCTGTCAGAGGGTCGGCTGACATTCCATGGACCCCCTGGAATGCCTCTCCAGATTTAGGGACCCAAGGGCCAGGGTGCAGGTGACCTGAGACATCACGTCACTTGTGGCCTTCGCCCTTTGCAGAGGCAGACGGCTCTTCAGTTCTCTTAAGGCTGCTGGGATTTTCCTTTTTGTGCCCTCGGATTTGAAGGAAGGCAAACGCAGTTGGGGTGACTAATTCAGTAGACTTCATTGTAGTCAGCAAAGAAAGGTTTGGTTCAACTGAGAAAGAAAAAGGGGAGCAGTGAGTCAGTACTGGGTTATATTAAATAATAACATATATGGAATAGAGCAGCCACGAAAATGTGGCGGTGGGCTCGCAGGGACGTGCGGGACCCACCCCAGACCCCAGGGACCTGGACTCGCCCCTGACAGAGGGGAATCAGTTTTGGTGTAGAACTTGGAGTGAAGGTACAGGGAAGAGAACAGCACGAACCAACTGCTCCAGCTCAGAGTCTGAGGCCTGAACCCGACAGCGAGCTCTCTCGTGGGGACAGGAAGCAGCTGAGGTTCCAGTGAACAGAGAGGAAGGACCAGCACAAACCTCACGCTTTTACACAAAAGACTGAAAACAGCCCTGTTCAGTTAAAATATGCATATAGAAAGAGAGAGAGACAATATATTATATATAGGATAATTGTATGTATAGCAAATAAGATTTAAAAAATAGTTTAAGAAGGACAGATGAACATTCCATTACAGGTAAATTTTTGGGACACTATTTCACATATGTATCTTACACACAAAGTTTTGGTGTTTGCCACATTCTGAGATTTGTTTTCTTTTAATAGGTGAACTTATTCCAATTGAATTTATGGTTCAACTTATCTTTGGTCTTGATTTTATTGTCTTAGGTTATATTTTCTTTCTAAATGTCTTCCTGTATTAAATATAAGGTGTAATGCACACACACAGAAAACTTTTAACAGGCAGAGAGAAGGATTCAACAATGGTAAGGAATAAAACCCACAGGAACCTTTTTGTGCCAGACATCAGAGCATAGAACAATATAAACAGAAGGGCAAAATGCATACAGGGAGAAAGAAATCAACATCAACAACAACAACAACAACAACAACAACAACACAGTAGTATTGAGAGACTTGACATATCTTTCTTGTTTGACGGACCAAGTGGATAAAAATAATAATGTAGAGCAGGAGTCGAAGTCTAGAGCCTGTGGATTAAACTCTGGCCCACTGCCTATTTTTGTAAGTAATGTTTTATTGAACACAGACACACAGGCAGTTTGTTTACACATTGCCTATGGCTGCTTTTGCATCTCAGTGGTTGAGTTGAGTTACAACAGAAACCTTACAGCCCACGAGCCTCATTGTTTACTGTCTGGCTCTTATAGAAAAAGTTTGTTGACTGCCTTATAGAAGATATGAAAGCTTTAATAAGATTGATCTAGTAGAAATATATCCATCTCTGTACGCTGAAAATAGAGACTGCACCTTCTTTTCAGTTTTCTGGAAACATTTTTAAAAAGTTAACCGTGTTATGTTAAAACAATATCAATAAATTCTAATGAATAGGAATTCTTTAACCGTAATACAATTTAACTGGAAGGAAAATTACAGTCAGAGGTGCACTGGGAGCAGGTACTATCCATGAGCACAATCAAAGAATCAGACGTGACTCTCAGTCTGCGCCCCATCAGAAGACCGACCGCACAGTGACTTCAAGGAGAATTTCAATATAGGGAATTATTAAGCAATGATAGGAGAATAACTATAAGATTTTAAAAGAACTATGTAAGGTACAATAAAGCTGAGGAGGAGAGGACCCTCAAACTGGAGAGGGGACACATTTGAGGAAGGACGAACTTGAGAGGAGACCCCTCCCCTGAGACTGCAGGCCCGCCTCCTTGGAGAAGGCCTGACCGCGGCCCACAGGGCCATGGGCAGCTCTGCGGTGTTTCTCAGGCCAGAGCTGGCCCACTGTCCCTGGAGCAGCAGGAAGCCACCCCTGTGGGCACAGGAGGGTCCTCGTCAGCGGGCAGGAGCGCAGGGAAGCAGAGGGCCACTGTTGGGGGGCGGCATGGGGTGTCCAGCCCTTGTTCAGAGAGAGCTGTTGGGGACACGGGGGACTTGGGGCACCCATGCACGTGGGAAACCTGGCGTGCACTGCGTCTGTCAGAAAAGGTGACAGGACTGATCACAGGCCAGGCCAGGGTGAGGGTTGCTGAGGGGCCACGCGTCTGGGCCCCAAGTTAGGTCAGATTCCCACCAAATGCCATCACACCCACAGGTCTGACCAGAAACAGCAGGAGGGCCCCGTCTTCCCGCGGTGTGTTACCTGAGAGTTTCCCCCAGCTTTTTGGGACTCTGGACGCATGCTGTTAGTAACTCGATCACACTTCGATTCCAGTATATTGGCCCGATGTCTGCCTAACGTGTGTGATCTGGGTCGTGGACCTACACATTCGTCGCTAGAGCCATAGGTTTAAAAATGGCCTGCAACAAGAACTTTGTGATGTATCTCCTCTGGAAAAGATTAACACATCAATAGCTGTGTATTGAGTGAAAAAAATCATCATATGGCTACGGAGGACCTGAACTAGAGCGCGCACAGGCCGAAGGTCGATTCTACAGCGGTTGTTAAAAAATGTAATAGGTTACAGAGTGAGTTGCTGGAACTCATTCTCACAGGGAAAAGCAAACCGACTTTCCATTTTCATCTGACTCGGATAATTTTGGAAACATTTTGCCTGAAGGCAGGTGGATGAACTTGTTAGCTTTTGAGGTTCTTCCCAGAAATGAAAATAAACATACTTATCCTTAGGAGATGAAACCTGTCAACCCATAATTTATGACCTATATTTATGCTCTCCTCCGTCAGAGAATCACAGTGAAATGTAGGCGTGAGGCAGTGATTCTCAGTCTGTTCTGAGTATGAGCTGCTTTGAGAATCTCATGCTCTTAGACCCTCCCAGAAAAAGGCCTAGAATCACTTATGCGCAAAATTCTGCACACAATGCACAATTTCAGGGGGATCTTTGAACCCTCAGTTGGAAAGCACGGAAAAAGATGTGACAAATGAAAGTGATACCAAGTTGACTATGTCTCCTGGAGAAAAGATAAAGCGAGGTAATTGTTTGACCTAAATATTTTATTCCTTAACAGGAGAAAATGGGAAGGCAGGCCCAATAGCCCAGATAAGTTTTGGAGGAGATAGTTCCTCTAAGAAATGATGCCACAGCCTCCTGCTGCCTCAGTTAAAATAGGTGTTTTCAAATTTATAAGATTTTTTTTTTCAATTTTTCTTTCTTCTATTTAAGTGATGCCAATATTTCGCCTGCTTTGTACATTTCATAGTAACCACGCCTTTCATGACCTTGAAAAGATGTCCCTGTGTAGCGGGTTAGGACCGCGGCCCTCACTAGCATCAGCATGGGAGCCCCTTCCTGGGCTCCATGCCTGGGGGGCGGAGCCGGCTTCTGAACAGTGAGTGAGTCTGCCAGTAAGAACATTGGAGCCCATGCCGACACGCTACTTTTATCAGCTCACATTTCCGAGATCACTGTGCCAACTTACAAATACATTGTGGGCCACATGGTATTGGAAAAAACCCATTTTTTTCTTTTCATTTTTTAATTTCCTCCTCTCGAGAAATAACTGAACAGATTTTTTTTTTAATGTAGTAATGGACTTGGATGTGTCTGTTCTTTCTCTCGCCTGCTGCCTTCACAGCCAGTGGTGTGAAATACAGACAGTGCTTCCCGGTGGTTAGGGTTTATGGCGATGGAGCCCAGGAGTACCAAGCGGTCCGTTTGCACGTCAAACCCAAGAGAGTGGGCGCCTTATTTGTTCTGCACTAAGCAGCTGCTCGAAAGAGTCACACCCCATTTAATAGGGATACCGCTCTTTTTGATTAGGCACTGCCCATCTGTCTCCTGGATGTACCATAAACACCCCAGACTGAATAGAGTTCAAACAAACTCATCATCACCTCCTTAAAACTCTTCCTCCTCTTGTGTTGTTTGTCAGTGAGACATAGTATCTGTAAGGAAGCGATGTATAGAAAGAGGTTACATAAACATTTAGAAATAGATATCCCAAGAGAAAAATGGGCAAAGGACTTGTGGAGGCCACTCACATCAACAAAAATACAAATGACCACCGTGGATTTCACCGAACGCTTAAGCTCAGTAGTAATTTCAAAATATTTCCCAAATTTTAGGGATGTGAAAGTTGGGCAGTGAAAGAAGCTAATAGAGGAAAAGAAAAAAAATTTGAAATAGGGCTCTGGAGGAGAGGAGAGTACTCCAGATGCCCTGGACAGCCAGGAAGACAGACACATGGGTCCTAGACCAAATTAAGCCAGAAACATCGCTGTAGACAAAAATGACAGAACTGACGCTGTCCTCCTTTGGGCACATCATGAGAAGGCAGGGTTCTTTGGAAAAGACAGTGATGCT